CAGGGGGCCTGAGTCTGCCTGGTGTCCAGCCCCGTCCCCCTCACCCTGTGGTCCTTGTCTCGCTGCAGGTTTTGAAGGCCGAGATCATGGGCAGACACTGGAGACCACCAACACCCTGCCAGCCCCACCTCAGCTGCCGCTGCCAGAGATCCCTCAGCCCTGGCTGGTGAGTCCCCAGGTGCTTGCAGGAGCAGCCGGCCAGGCTGATGGGGCTCGATGACCATGCAGGGCTGGGCTCAGGAGGTGGACCTTGACCGGGGCACCCTGATGGGTGTTCTTTTAGGGACCTACAAGCTTCTAGTGGAGGCCCTGGGTGGCACAGGGGGTGAGTGCTCAGCTGCAGATGCAAAGGATGGGGCTCCGGTCCACCCAGAGGCTCCTCCAAAAACAGGCCTGGCTGCGTCTGACACTCAGCCTGAAAGGTCATCGGGTCAGAACCTACCCTGGGGCACCTGGTTCCACATGCCACCCTGGCCTTTTACAGGAGACACGCCCACACCTAGAAGTTCCTTTTTTACCTGACCGAAGACAAGGCTATTAAATAGATAGGTAGATGCATTGGTTTTTGGTTTTTTGGTGGATGGATGGATGGATGGATGGATGGATGGATGGATGGATGGATGGACAGGCAGGTAGATAGATAGGTAGGTGGATAAATAAGTGGATGGATGATAGATAGGAGTGTAAGTGGATGGGTGGGTGTGTGGATAGATGGGTAGATGGATGGGTGGATAGGTGGATAGATAGGTTGGTAGACAGGTAGGTCAGATGGTGCCACACTGTGAGCTGTGAAGTTTGCACTGGCTACTTTTTGGAGTTGGTGTGCCAGGTCTCTCTTCCTAGGCTCAAAGCTTGTCTGGCAAGCCCTCTCTGAAACTTCTCAGAGGCCCCCTCTTGATGGGACCATCAGTGACATCAGCGAGCGTGGTGACAGCCCATGGACTGAAGGGGATGTGTGACATGGGTCAGGGTCACCGGAGTCCCTGCTGCTCTGACAGTGTGGCTCAGGGCCAGGTGCCTGCCTAGGGGTTCCGTTCACACCTGTCTTGTTTTTCTCTCCCCCCATCCTCCCCAGCCTCCAGACAGCCGGCCGCCACCTCTGCCCACCGCCTCCCTGCCTGAAGGCTACTACGAGGAAGCTGTACCGCTGAGCCCTGGGAAAGCTCCGGAGTACATCACATCCAGTGAGTGGTGGGTGCTCTGAGCTTACGTGGCCTCCTCCTGGCCTGGATGTGGTGGTGCAGAGGCCGTAGCAGGACAGGACGCCCCCTTGGCCCTGCTCGGGGAAGGGCCACCAGGACGGACCTGCCAGCTTCCGCCTCGCTGTCAGCTCCCTCGCTTTGTGGGATAGCACACCTCCCCATAGCTGCCTTCCTCCGTGGGCTGAGAAGCCACCAGGGTGTCCCCAGCAGGGCTCTACTGTCCACCCTTACCGCCCTGCACTGTCCCTGTCCCCAGGTTCTCCCTCTGAGTCCTCTGGGTCTAGGAGGTTCTCAGTGTAGGGACCCTGGGTCCAAAGGATACTTGGTGGGATGCCAACTCCTATCTTCATGGGCGTAGTGGGGTGTGACATAATGTACCCCCTGCCGTAATGTAAGCCCCCATTGTCATTGTCCTTGGTAGTTCTCATCCGGTCAGTTCCAGCTCACGGCCACTCCCGGCCTGCAGAACAGAGTGGCTCTGAGGGTCATCCAGGCTGTGACCCTTGGGGGGCAGATTGCTGGCCCCTGGAGTGGGTGTGACTGCCACACATCTGGCTGGTGGCGCAGCACACAGCCCTCCTCAGTGCTGCTCTGTGCTGGGGTTCCCACGCCTTGTGCACCTCTTCTGCGTACAGGTGGCAGTGCCCTCGCCGGCCTGTGTGTGTGTGCCCCGCAGACCCCAGGGGACCCCTTAGTGCTCTCAAGGGGTGCTCACCTGCTCAGTCTGTGCGGGCTCTCACACGCCCCGCCCGGCCTTGGGCAGGGTGCCGCTCTGACCCTGCTGTGTCCGCTTGTCCCTGAAGATTACGACTCGGACGTGGTGAGCAGCTCGTACGAGTCCTACGACGAGGAGGAGGAGGACGGCAAGGGCAAGGGTGCACGGCACCAGTGGCCGTCCGCAGAGGCCTCCATGGACCTGGTGAGGGACGCCCGCATCTGCGCCTTCCTGCTGAGGAAGAAGCGCTTCGGGCAGTGGACCAAGCTACTGTGCGTCATCAAGGACAACAAGCTCCTGGTAATGCCCAGTGTGGCCACCCTCTGCACCACCTCTGCGTCTAGGCCCCGCTGCCCTCAGCAGGGGAAGGCCGAGCCTGGGTGCCTGCCCTCGGGCCAGGACTCAGCGGCCACAGCTGACCCTGCTCAGCTCAGTGCAGCCACCCCCTGCATCACAGCCCTGGGAGTGCAGGCTCATCGGCCGGCCCAGGCTGGACTGGGTGCTCCCCCTGCCCTGCCCCCAGCCAGTGGATTCCTGAGAGCCCAGTCATGGGGG